GGCTGTTTTCTGCAACTCCATGGCTAGGTAATGACAAGAGGTTGAAGAGGGAGGTGAGGGGGATCGAATGGTAGTGGTGTCTCGGTCGATTGTTGAGGAAGAAGGCGGTGGGTTTTCCTGGTCTCTCACGCACGCACAGTGGAAGAAGAAGAGGAAATGGGCGTTTGCCGTGTTTTCTGAATTTTGGATGTTTTGGCCTGAAAACGGCCAAAACGATGTTTTGGCCGTTTTCCATTTTGTGTACAAAAATTTTATCTGTTTTCAAAAATTCGTTTTGGAAAATGGGAAAGAGAACGCGTTTTCCCTATTTTGGAAAATTGAAAACAGAAAACGGCCCGAAAACACCAAAGAGAACAGACGGATTGCATAAAGCAAGATAAAAAATTTATTTTCACACTTTTCTCGACACAGAGAGAAGCATTTTTAATAAAACATGATGATCCCACTACTGCAAGAACACAGGAAAAGTTAAACTAATGGAGAACATTATAATTTTAAGAGAAAACTATTCAAAAAGAGTTGAGATCTGCTGTCCAATCGATTGTCCAACCAATTAATTATTAATATATCATCTCAAATTTACCCTCATTTTATTCGCCACTACCCACTAAATTGATGACATATTGATAATTAATTAGTTTGACAGCCAATTGGATAGCAAAATTGTACTGCTGATCTTAACTCATTCGAAAGTAGTAGACTTTTAGAAATGAAAACAATCAAAGGTATTAGAGTACCTCCAAGAGACTTTTTAAATACATCTATATTTTAGAAAGTCAATACTTAAAACATAAGTTCAAATATACTTAAAATAAAGTTAAAATAGAGTGTTTTTAATTCTTTAAATTTAAAGAGCAAAAAATCTCAATTCTTACTTTATAGTGATTGTATTTAATAAGTTTCATATTTCAATAATTTGCTACTTAAATTATTCAAATCACATTTCAATTAATTGACAATTGACCTATAAAACAAATATTTAAATAAGAGATAAAGAGAAATCAATAAATATTTTTTGAAAAAAATAAAATAAAAAGTCAAAATAGATGACACTATTGAAGTGTGTAAATAATTTTTCTCTAAATTTAAATATAATTAGCCTTTAATTTAACTCACACGTCTCCGACCTAACAAATTTATGTTATGCCTACAAGTCATAAGACAGTTTTATTCCTTCGTATTCTCAAAGTCTCAAGCAATTTATCTTTCGTGATATTACCTTTTTTCATTAATATGGAAACAACACCTCTATAGTACAGGAACTAGGGAATCTTTATTTCAAAAATGAGAAAAATGTAAGAAAATAGAGTAAATAGAAATGGGAGTGGGATTGTTTAAAATTATTTGAAAGATGCCATATATACGTAGCCTTTTGGATACAGTTTATCTAATTAAGGGTTTTGGTCTTTTATAGAAGTTATGAAAAGTACGATGAAAATGTATGGAACATGTTGACCTCGTTTTTGTACCGTTGACGTGGACAACAGATACCGAGCACACTCGCGTCCACGCAAGTTAATTCCACCACGTTTGGACGGACTTCTAGTTGATGGTATTTCGAATTTGAACGTGAGAGAAACTTTATAACACGAGACAAATATGTTCGAGCGCCAGCAAGATATACGAGTGGAATTACACGATAAGGAACGATCAACAAAAATCAATCTAAAAATCAAGATCGAATATCTAACTTTATCAACAAAAGATTTAACTTAAATGGAGAGTATATGTAGCTTACAGTAGATGTATTTGCATTACCTCAAATGATACTAATGGGAAAATATTTATAGTGTTACATGCGAAATTGTGTCCTTTGGACAAGGGGACACGTGACCTCATCTTTTTAACCGAAACATCTTATCCAATGTATCAATTTTGACAAGACTTCGACATATTATTCATTACAGGGTCACATCAATCATTCAAACAAGATTTCATGAATTCAGGATTATTAAAGGTGGGTTGTCACTCGTCATAGTAGAGTTTCGGATTTAGCCTCGTTGAACATCACCACTTCGACAAAAAGGGCTTTGGCAACCGCTTCGGTGAAAGTCCTTTTATTGCAAGAGAGATTTGGTAGGTCCTATGTACTCCACGTGGAATGCCACTAGTGATGGCAATGGGCCGAGCCGCCCCATTGCCCCACGAGCTCGGCTCGTTTGCTCGTGGGCGAGCTCGGCTCGGCTCACGAGCCGTGGCNTCGCTACAGTACGAGCCGAGCGGCGATTGCCATCACTAAATGCCACGTAGGTTTCAGCAAGAGGGCTTCAGTGTGTCGGTTGCACTCCTAGTGCGATGCCACATAGGCTGCACGTGGGAGCCTCGGTGTCGAAGCATAACATAATAGACATAACTTTCGGACTAGAAGTCTTTCATATTAAAAAAGACATGTAACTATTGCGTGTTTGTTTAAGCTTAAAAATAATTACTTATATACACATGTAATTAAGTAGATTTGTAATAAAAATATCTTTTTGTTAGTTAAAGTAATGTTTTGACATCGGCTCCAGCATCATATTAATAAACGCATTAAAAAGGTTTTTTTCGCCTCTTATGTAGAAATATAAAAACAATTATAGTCACTTTGACAAGTTAAATGTCAAGTTATTGTTTTTTATTAAAATGAATGTTTCTTCGACGGCTTGGGAGTGTGCTCGATAGTTGTAACTGTCGCGAATAAATAATTTACTGTTTGGTAATCATTTTTACCCCCATTTGTAGAAAAATTCCACCCGTTATACAGTGACCGTGTTAAAAGGAGTTGGCCCCTTTTTTTGACCAAATTTCGTGAAATTACCAATTTGCCATTTTAGACAATTTTTTTGTGAGAGAAGTGATGGCAAATTTGGAAACATGTTGCTGCGATATGCAAAAGCTGCTTCACCTGGGTCCCACTGACACAGATAACGGGTGAAAAATTCATTTTCATTTTGAAAGATATGACATCGTACAAAAGTTCGTATAAGACGTTTTCTCATCAATTTCTGAAAGCGTTATTTTTTACAGTCTTGAAAGACTTGATATCGATCGCATGTTTGCATAAGAATGAAGTTTTGTCAGTGGTGTGGGAGTGAGCTAGACAGTTGACAACTTGGGACTATCTTGAACAACAGAAAGACGTGTTTTGCCTAAAAGGAAATTGGGAAGGTAAAGAAAAGCGTAAGTTAATTATAGAAAATTGTTAAAATCAGGCTGTGCATAAGTGAAGTGCTATAGAACCGATAAAGGATTCACAATGACCTTGAATTTGTATTTCATATATAATAAAATACCCAATGGTACTGTTGTCCAGAATCCAGAAATAGGCCAGGTGTGTATTGTTTCTTAAAAAATGATCTATGTTCCTTCGCCTCCTTCCGTTTAATTGGGTTTCAGCATATTTAATGTTGAAGTACGATTCTCTTGTGAAGGTTATTCAACTTCAAGGTGATCAGTGAAAGAACGTTTCCACCTTCTTGTTCAGGTGATTACCTTTTGCCGTTTCATTACATCTCATCATATGTTCATGAGATTTGTAAGAAAATTGAGTCATAAATAGCCAAGAAGGAAAATGATTTGAAGTAAGCATGTTTTAATTTCTTATTTAGCAATTGTTTGGATAAAATAATAAGTTACTAAAATTATAATGTGATAGAAATGAATGATGGATATGTGTGTAATAGTCGTGAGTCTTACGAAATGTGTGTGTGTGTGGAGAGAGAGAGGATATTTAGATTCGGGCTTCGGAGTTTTAGTGACTAAATATTTATCGTTTTAATTTGGTTTCCCGGAATTTCGAAGAAGGAACAGATCGAGATTCATGGTTTCTGAGCGGCAGCATCAGTTACTGCACGGATCTGAGCAAAGGAGAATGGAATTACACCTTGTGATTACTTTTCTTCGTCTCTAAGCATAAAAAATGATAAATTCAAATTTGAACACACAAATCATTTTTTATCATGGAGTCGTGTTCATTCTAAGAATTTTTTGTAGCTGCATAACAGCCGTGTCTATTTGCCAAAGAAAATTCAAAGAGACAGAAGGGAATAACATTACAAGCATGAAATATATCACATTTAGAAGGAAGCAGAGTGGCGCTATCTTCATCTAAAGACTCAAATCAACACAAGTATTCACCAACATGCAGTTTCATGTTTATCTGTGTTTGCAAATTCGACTGGAAACTTGATCAGTCTTCATATTGGTGAATGGAAGACGACTTGGTGTTTAATATGGAGTATAATCAACGAAGGGTTGAAGGAAACTGTTGGCATTGGGCTGGTCCCACTCCAATGATTCCCACCACCCTCTCTCTTTTTCCCATAGTTCAATCATTCTGAGAGATGGAGGCGGAGACGGTTGTCCATTGAGGGGCGGCAGAAACAAAGGCACCTTCCTTACTTTTGTAATATGCTCCATATAAATTTTCTCAATGGAATCACAGATTATTGTCCCCTTGCAGATGCTTTCCAATTCTGGCAGCTTGATGAGTTTCAAAATCTTTAACCTTGGCAGGGTGATGTCGGTATTACTTTCTGCACCAAAGCCTCCACTTTCGTCGTCTCCTATTATCTCTTCCATTTTTGCACATGAAATAACACTCAGCTCGTTGAGTTTATGAAGGTTCTGTACCAAACTCCGAGGGAGAAGCTTCTTGATTTTCCCGCACTGCTTAATTTCCAACCTTTGAAGGTGAGAAAAAGGGCCATGTGGAAGCGGTGCAACTGCTGGTACTACTTCCCACCTGATGAGACCAATAAAATTCTGCAAGTTCTCAAGTTGCAAATTTTCAAGGTAATGGAGTGGCATCAAGCTAGACTGTTGTTCTTCTTCTGCCTTCAGTTCCTTCTTAAGCGACAATCTCACAATGCACTCTATTCCATCCTCGTTTCCAATATAGCAATACTTCAAATCTGTAGCATTATTTAATTGTTGGAAATCATCAAATAAGCAGTTGCAGAGACCACACCGGTCAAACTGCACGTGCTCAATATCTCGTGGCAGCATAATCTCGTCTTTGCCTCTTTCGCCTTTCTTAAGACTGTCTTTTCCAAAAGTTACTTCTTTAAATCGGAATTTTCTACGGGCGGGATCTCTTGAAAATAAAGTCTCACCTATTAGAATATCATAGAAACTGAGCTGCCCATCACTTGGTCGAGACTTCATAAATATGTTGAAATCATGCATGCTGCGAAATTTGCCTTGAAATTCTTCTAGTTGTTTCAATCCTGCAACTTCTTCTATTGGTATTGTCATCCATGTAGGGAGTGTGAGACGCTGAAGAAGTGACAGTCCTGGTAAAATCCCTGTTGGAATTGTTTCTATCTGTGAGCCAACTGTGTCCAAGCATTTGAGATCAGTTAAACTTTCCACGCTTTGGGGTATGTCCTTAATGCCAGTATAACTGAGGTCCAGCTCTTTCAGTGCCTTGAGGTTTCCCAACGGTGGTACAAACACAAGTTTCGGACAATCTCTGAGCAATAATGCATTGAGTTCCTCCAAGTCTGATATGGAACTGGGCAAGTATTCAATCGGAGTGCTACTCAAATTGAGAACATGGAGGCCACGCATTTGCAAAAAGAAAGAATCTGGAATCGACTTCAGAAGATTGGAGCTCAAAAGCAAGGTTGAAAGTTTAGGACACTTGGGTGATGTGACTCTTGAAATTCCTTCTATATTGTTCCACATTAAGGAAACCTTAACCAAATCTTCCTTCCATTCCTGCTCCTCTGGTATTTCCTTTAACTGAAGTCCAGCTTTTACCATGCAGTTATCTTTAGTCATCTTGACTCTACACTACAACACTTGGTAAAAATATAATTGGACAATGAGTACATCAAAATCTTTGTATAATAACATTACGAAAGAATGATGCAAGAAATATAATTTGTATGAAAATTCAAAAATAATAATTAGTTGCTAAAGACATGGTGTTTTTTATTACCTCTCAAAAGTCAAAACTAACACTGGAGTTTTTACTGGAAGAAGCTGATGAGCCAAAAGAGAAGAGAAACCAATCTGCCTTGTGTTCCTGTAATTGTTTCCCAGATGTTGAATGGAAATGTGATGCTAATCCAATGGCAGATTTAGGAAGAAAGAGGGTAGGTTCCTGGACGGATACGAGTGGACTTCAACTGTAAGTCTTCATTAGTGGTGATAAAAGTATGGATTAAATTAATAATTATTGTCCTTTTCAATGATTTAGGCAAATTGAAGTTTAGTTAATTATTTGACGTTTAAGTAAAATTATAGTTATCGTTAATAGACTATTTTGATAATAAAAAATATTCCAATAAACAGCAATGATTATCAATTTGGATAAATTCCTTCGTGCTAATGGTAGTAACCTTACGTTAACAGAGAACATTCGTAGAAAGAGGTACATGAAAGCTTAAGCCCGAGTTTGAGTTCGGCCTTTATTTGAGCTTCACTTTAATAAAAAAATTTTAGAAAATATGTGAATAAAAAATAAGAATTTTTTTTGAATTCACGTGTAATATTATTTTATTGAAAAATATGATTAAAAATAAATTTTAAAAATTATATTTTTGATTTAACCCTTGTTTGAACCCCCATTTTTTCAATCAAAATGCAGTATTCTATAGTGATTATACATCATTTCAACCGCACATTCTTTAATAAAATAATATTACATGCAAATCTAAAATTTTTCTTTATTTTTTAATCACACATTTTCCATCATAATACTATTGCAAAATGCATTTAAAAAAAAAAAAAAATGGAGCTCAAACAATCCCTTAATGGAGCCCTAACAAGAGCTCATTATTTTCATAATCATTTTTTTGGAGGATTGATTGTTGGCCCAAAATTGAATAGAAATGCTTACATTTTAGGGAAAAGTACATTAATATAGTAATAAGAATACAAATTCAAATTTAACAAACTTGTAAAAAAATTTCATAAATCAAGTGTTAATTATAATAACAATAATAATTGATTTTCATCACTCCTTTTCTCTTCACCCACCCATTGGAGTCGCAATGGGGTCAACACCGCGTGCAACATGCTCAATTTTTTGTGCAGCCACTTTGATTTTTATTGGTGGTGATGGTGAGATGGTTGTGGTGATGACCGTTATGGTGGTTGTGGCGGTGTTAGTGAGGAGGTGATGGTGGTGGTGGTGGTTTGTGTTAGCTCTATTGTGATAAGACGTGGGGATGAGATGGATTGAAAAGTATTTTGTGACCAAAATCAATTGTGACCAAGTTTATATTCATTGTAATTGTTTCTGACCATGTCAATTTTAAATATGATGATATGTGATCAAGTCACAGTTAATTTGGTCACATAGAGTCACAATTAACATAGATTTAATCACAAAAGATCACAATTAACATATAAAATTATAAATAGTCATCATCACCACCACCACCACCACCGCACCAACACCATTTAACCTATATGCTGTACTTCCAAAGCACTTCTCATTTTTCATTTCTCTGCCCTCCAAACTAGATCTACCATCAACACTCGTCAAGCACTATATCTGAGCGCCTTGCAGTAGTGCTGCACCACGCGTAGCAATGTTGCGTGAGGCGTCACCAAAACCGCGAGCAGTGCTGCGAGAGGCACTGATGAGCACGGTTGCATGGTGTTGCTCCGCATCGGGACCAATCGGAGAAGCACCGGTGAGTGAAAGACTTGACAGCGTTGATAAAGGAGGGTATTGGTCGACCAACTCATTTCGAGCCATTCCACCACAACGTGGAATTTACGAAACTACTACTAATTAGGGTGGAGGGGGGGTATTTATGTCCAAGGCATTGTTGTCATTTGACCATCTAACTGAAGGGCAATTGTGGAAATAAAAAAAATTGGGAATATAAACGTTTGATATTCTGAGAAATGAATGGATGGCCAATTTCCTGAAAAGATTTGAATTTTCAAAATATCGAATTTTGCTTTAAAAAAAAAAAAAATGAAGCACATTTTAGGTTTTATCAGACATGGATAAATCAACTTTAGACATGACAATTAAGTAGCAATTTCTTATTTGACCGGTCCATGGCTTCTAGAAAGATTAGTGTGACGAAGATTAGTAATAGGCGGCTTGACTTATTGACATTTTTTCATTAGAATAATTTACCTAACCCCTCAATTTATTATGGTTACCACCCATCCACATTCACTACATTTCGACCCAAATTAATTTTATGTGTTGAAAGTATCCAAGAAGAATAATGCTATCTAAAATAATTGATGCTACACTATCAATCTAGATAGCGTGATGTGATTGATTTAATAAAATTTAGAATTAAGTGACTCACTTAATAGTATCTTTCATTTGATATTACAATTGATTCACATAGACTGATATTTTAACACTAGTGATGCTAAATAACATTATTCAAAGTATGCCAAAGAAAGTCATGAACTTTAGGAGAGGTAAGGATTTTCCCTAAAATCTTCCACCTATGTACCTAATCATTTTCTAATATTATCCAAAAAAAAAAAAAAGAAAGAGGAAGAAAAACCAAGCGTGACTTGATCACTGTTAATGTGCAATTAATATGCTGACTGACTAGTGAAGAACTTAAGGGAGAAAAATAATTGTGTGTCTACCTAGTAGTAAATTAAAGATAGCATTTTTAATATATAACAAATTTAGCCTTGTATTTACCAAATTCAAACTTAACCTACATGAAGAATTTTCTCCATTCAGTTCATTGCTAAACAGTACAAAGCAAGGGTATCAATGCAAGTATAAAAAGGAAGCAGAGTGTGGCTATCTTGAATCAACGCAACGGTCCACCAAAACACAGTGCAAACAGCAGCAGTTGCATGATTATTTATGTTCACAGATCAAACTATAAATTTCATCAGTTTCATTATGAAGGATCTCCAACAAATCAAGAAAGTAATAAGTGATAAACAGAGATGAGCAATCGAGGAACAAGTTAAATAAAATAAGTTAAAGTAAGAAACTGGGATGCTTACGGGATTAATACAATCTTTGATCATGAACCTTCACTTGGTTGGCGGCAAGCCCTAGACTACAAATATTCAACGAAGGGTTGAAGGACATTTTTGGCGTTGGGATGGTCCCACTCCAATGATTCCCACCATTCTTCCTCTTCTTCGAACTTATGTCTACTTTTGAGAGATGGGAGATGAGATGGTTGTCCATCGAGAGGTGGCAGAAACAAAGGCATTTTCTTTAAGCTTTTCGACAAAAACAACGCAATGTACTCGATGGAATCACAAAATATGGTTCCCTTGCAGATGCTTTTCAATTTTGGAATACTCTGGAGCGTCAAACTCTTTAACCTTGGCAGGGTAACATAGGCCGCCTTCATCATTGTCTCCTATTATCTCCTCCATTTCTACACATGATTCGACTGTCAACACTCGAGGTTATGGAGGTCATTTAACAAACTCTTGAGGAATAATTTTCTTCAATTTCCCACTTCAGAATCTCCAACTTTTGAGGCTGGGAAAACGCTCCACATGGAAGAGGTGCCGCTCCTCCTCCTCCACTCTGTACGAGACCAAGGAGGAAGATGATTTGAAGTAAGCATGTTTTAGTTTTTTATTTAGTGCTTGTTCGGATAAAATTATAAGTTACTAAAATTATAGTGTGATAGAAATTATTGGGGAATAAGTGCATAGTAGTTGGGGATCTTACGAAATGTGTGGTTAAAATTAAAGTTTAACTTTGAAAATACAATTTCAAGAAACTTATAAGGAAATACAAACGCGCACACACTTACTGCACTGCCTGTGATTGTAGAGAGGATATTTAGTTTAAGGTTTTAGAGTTCACTGACTAATATTTATTGTTTTAACTTGGTTTCTTATCAGGCTGGAATTGAGAAGAAGGAACAGATCAAGATTCATGGTTTCTGAGCAGCAGCATCAGTTACTGCACGGATCTTGTTCATTCTCGTGCCAGTCCAGACATCATATGTTAACTTACACTTAAATCTAGTGCCAGTTCAAACATGATATTTGAACTTTTTCTGTGTCTTGCCTAGTACTACTTCTATGTTTGACACTATAAACTTTATGTTACTGTTTGTTTCCTAATACTCCTGCAAGCATCGAATGTTGGTAATGTCATGTTTATTAGTGTTAATGGATGTGCTGAATAATATATATTTTTCTGGGAATTAACGTTGGAAAGTTGCTGCTGCTTTATTTTGTATCTGCATGGTTTCTCTCATCCATGTCCTATTAGTCCCCAACGTATCTTTTTATCTCACATACAGCCTCTGTCACATTTACCATACTAAAATAAAAACCATTGGCTACTTGAATCACTGGAGAAACAACAGAAGAAACCATTTTTATTTTTGTAAAGGAAAAATGTAATATGAGTAAACGAGAATGGAATTACCCCTTGTGATTATGTGTCTTCGTCTCTAAGCATCAAAAAGATATATTCAAATTTGAATACATAAATCATTTTTTTATCACTGTATCGTGTTCATTCTAAGAATCCAAATAAATCTTCCGTAGCTGCATAATTGCCGTGTCTATTTGCCAAATAAAATTCAAAGAGACAGAAGGGAATGACAATGCAAGGATGAAATAGAACACATTCAGAAGGAAGCAGAGTGAGGCAATCTTCATCTCAAGACTCAAATCAACACAAATATTCACCAACACGCAGTTGCAAGATTAATGGTGTTTGCAAATCCGACTGTAAATTTGATCAGTCTTTGTTTATGTGAAAGGAGGACTTCCTGGTTTTGGCTCCCCCTCCTTGCGGTTAAGGTAACAACGTCAGGCATGGCTAGCTCGCATAGTGTGACGTGCCGTGTGTAAAAGGCCCTGGAACGAATTCACCATCATATGGATGGTTGGCGATTACTAGCGATTTCGACTTCATCCAGGTGAGACGAGTTGCAACTTACAATTCGAACTGGGGACGGATTTTTGGGGTTAACTCACTCTCGCGGGATCATGACCCTTTATCCCAGACATTGTAGCACGTGTGTCGCCCAGGACATGAGGGGTATGATGACTTGACGCCATCCTCGCCTTCCTCCCATCATGACGTCTAAGTCAAATATAATGAACGAATGGTTGAAGGACACTGTTGGCATTGGGCTGGTCCCACTCCAGTGATTCCCACCATCCTTTCTCTTCTTTCCATAGTACTATATTTTTGAAAGATGGAGGCAGAGATGGTTTCCCATTGAGAGGCGGCAGAAACAAAGGCACCTTCCTTACTTTTGTAATATACTCTATATCAATTTCCTCAATGGAATCACAAATTATTGACCCCTTGCAGATGCTTTCCAATTTTGGGAGACGGATGAGGTACAAAATCTTTAACCTTGGCAGGGTGACGATGGTATTACTTTCTGCCCCCAAGCCTCCACCAATTTCATCGTCTCCTATTATCTCCTCCATTTCTTTACATGAATCAACTTTCAACACGTTGAGGTTATGAAGGTTCTGTACCAAACTTCGAGGGAGAAGCTTCTTGATTTTTGAACAATTCACAACCTCCAACCTTTGAAGGTGAGAAAAAGGGCCATGTGGAGAAGGTGCAACTGCTGGTGCTACTTCCCACTTGATGAGAGCAAAAAAATTCTGCAAGTCCTGAAGATGCAGACTTTCAAGGTAATGGAGTGGTATCAAGTAAAACTGTTGTTCTACTTCTGCCATCAGTTCTTTCTCAAGCGACAATTTCAAAATGCACTCAATTCCATCCTCTTTTTCAATATAGCAGTGTTTCAATTCTGTAGCATTATTTAATTGTTGGAAATCATCAAATAAGCAGCTACTCAGACCACACTGATCAAACCGTAAGTACTCAATATCTCGTGGCAGCATAATCTCATCTTTTCCTCTCTCACCTTTCTTAAGACTGTCTTTTCCAAAACTTACCAATTTAAATGCTAATCGTTCAGGGTTGCGATAACTATAAGAACATCTGTCACCTATTTGAATATCATAGAAACTGAGCAGCCCATCACTTGGTCGAGACTTCATAAATATGTTGAAATCATGCATGCTGCGAAATTTGCCTTGAAATTCTTCTAGTTGTTTCAATCCTGCAACTTCTTCGATTGGTATTGTCATCCATGTAGGGAGTGTGAGATGCTGAAGAAGTGACAGTCCTAGTAAAATCCCTGTTGGAATTGTTTCTATATGTGAGCCAACTGTGTCCAAGCATTTCAGATTGGTTAAACTTCCCACGCCTTGGGGTATTTCCTTAATGTCAGTGTAACTGAGGTCCAGCTCCTTCAGTGCCTTGAGGTTTCCCAATGGCGGTACAAACATGAGTTTCCAACAACATCCAAGCAATAACGCATTAAGTTCCTCCAAGTCTGATATGGAACTGGGCAAGTACTCAATCAGAGTGTAACTCAAATCGAGAACATGCAGGCCACGCATTTGCAAAAAGATTGAATCTGGAATCGACTTCAAAGGATTGGAGCTTAAAAGCAAGGTAGAAAGTTTAGGACACCTGGGTGATGTGACACTCAAAAATCCTTCTATATTGTTCCTCATTAAGGAAACCTTATCCAAATCTTCCTTCCATTCCTGCTCCTCTGGTATTTCCTTTAACTGAAGTCCAGCTTTTACCATGCAGTTATCTTTAGTGATCTTTAAAGCCATGTCTCTTATTAGATCATGCATCTTCACACCTCCATCTTCATAGTGAGATTCTTCACATCTTTCCAATAAGCAAACGTTCTCCAATTTATTCAATATTTTGTGACCTTGGTCAAAGTATGCTTGCCTGCTTGTTCTTCTTTCCATCAGCTCCTCTGAAATGAAATTTGTTATCAATTTGTGTCTTTGAATACTGTGGTCTTCGGGATACAAGGAGCAATACAAGAAACAACGCTTTAGTACTGGATCCCTCAATCGATTAAAGCTACACAAGAGTATAGGAAACACCTCATTTTCCATGACATCTCGTCCCATACAAGATTCTTTCAGTTCTTCCAGGGCATCCCTCCACTCATGGATGTCAATCACCCCCCTCAAGCTTCCGGCCATCGTGACAATTGCAAGTGGCAAACGAGCACACTTTTTTGCCACTTTTTTTGCTATCTCTTCCACTTTGGGTGGAAGTCGTATGCCATAACTAAGTTTGTTCATAAATAGCTTCCAAGCTTCTTCCTCAGAAAGAGCTTCTACTTTCAGATGCTTTTGACATTCCATTTGTTGACACACTTCTCTTGATCGACTAATTACTATCATTTTGAATCCATAGGTAGAAAGAGAAGGAGAAATTCCAATCTTCTGTAAAGAAAAAGGGGTCCAGACATCATCCAACATGAGTACAAATCTCTTCTTTCTCTCCAGTGCCCGACCCAATTTGGCTGCCCTCTTGTGCTCATCATCTTCGCCAGAAAGATCTAGATTCAAGGCTTTTCCAATGTCATTCTGCAACTTGTGAATGTTTAAATCTTGTGAGACAGTGAACCAGAATATGTTACCGGAGAACATAGTTTCATTCTTGAGCTCGTTATAGATGCATTGTACCAAAGTTGTTTTGCCAACTCCTCCCATGCCATAGACGCCAATACTTGAGACCTCGTTCCCCAATAAACACGTCCAAACTGTCTCCAAATTCTCTTTAAATGCCTGGCCTTTCCATTCGACAGTTACAAATTTCTCCTCTATTGTCTCGCTAACATCTTGTACAACCCCCCCAGAAAATATGCCTTCATCAAGAAGTCCTGTCACTTCCTCAATCATTTTATCAGCACATTTCGCTAAGGTCACACGCGAAATACGACTGTTTTGGTTCACTGATGTTTCCAAGCTTTCGAATTCTTTTTGCTTTGATGCTACATCGCTCAACCAATATTTGACCACACTTTTTCGCCTCTTTCCTGGATGACATTCTTCCTCTCTTAGCCTTGCAACCATATCAGCTTCCTGACAGTTGAGGAGTTCAAGCTTCCTCTTAAGATTTTGCATTTTTTTCTCGAGGTTGTAATAATCGCTCGCCACATTCACCGCAAAGTTAGCTAACATGTCACTCATGGTATTGCCTACAGATAAGACGCCCAAAGCAAATTACACAAACCCCACCTCAGTAAAAGAACAAAAAAAAGAAGATAAAATAATAGCATTTAGATCTTGACTCTACACTACAGATATATAAATACTAGCTAAGAAATAGCTGGACAATAAGCACATCAAAATCTTTGCATCGTAACATTTGGAAAGAATGATGCAAGAAATATAATTTGTATGAAAAATCCAAAAAGAATAATTAATTATGCTAAAAGACACGGTGTTTGCTACCTCTCAAAACAAAACTAACACTGGAGTTTTTACCGCAAGAAGCTGATGAGCCAAGAGAGAAGAGAAACCAATCAGCCTTGTGTTGTTGTAATTGTTTCCCAGCTGATGAACAGATATGTGAAGCTGGTTCAATGGCAGATTTAGGAAGAAACAGGCTAGGTTCCTCGTTGGACACGAGTTGACTTCAAGCAAGTCTTTTTAATGCTGACATAGGTATTTTTACCATGAATTGGCTTATCTTATTTAGCCATGTTTCAGCCTCTCCTTTTATTGATGCATTTTTGATCAAGCAAGTCTTTTTAATTTGCTAGTTGTTTTTATTATTTGACCATCTAACTCAAGGGCAATTATGAAAATAAAAAATTGGGAATCTGAACGTTCGATATTATAAAGAGTAATTATATTTAAACTACAATTTTTATTTCTTACAACACATTTTAATTACACTTATGTCTCTAACGATTTATCATATTATTCTTATTCTCGGACTTTTCATTAGTTAACATATTTTGTATTTAATAAAAAATTTATGTTCATAAGTCCGTTGAAATGACGTAAAATAATTTATTTTTCAATCCTATTTTTAAAAATATAAATAAAAGTGCATAAAAATATTTTTCCTCATTTCAAAGCATAAAAATATAATATTTTGACATAAATCATCGTCAAGGACGAGATGTATTAATGAATGAAAAGTTGAAGATAAAGATTCGACAAAAAAAGCTAAAGAAATAACTGCTACAATGAACAAAAATTAAGGAACTTAACTACAATTGAAATGCAGTGTATCAAATAAAATTTTTTGTGACAATATATGAATGAATGTTGGAGGGCTAATTTTCTGAATAATTTATTCAAGATTTGAAATTTTAAAATATCAAATTTTGCTTAAAAAAATAATAATAATAATTTTACGTTTTATCATACAAGGATTAAATCAACTTTAGACATGATAATTAAGCAGCATTTTCTTATTTGACCGGTCCATGGATTCTAGAAAGATTAGTGTGACGAAGATTATTAATTGGCCCGCTTGACTTGTTGACATTTTTGCATTAGAATATTTTACCAACCCCTAAATTTATTATGTAATAATAATGTAGATCAAGATTGATGAACGTTAAAATTGTTGAAAAAATGGTTTCAATTGATCAATATGATTTTTATTAACGTTTTTACTATTATATTGTTGTAAAAAATAATATTGTAAAGTATCAATATTTAAGTGAACAAGAAGCATGACATTTACCACAATTAGGCCTAAAATAGATATAGCAGGACTATTCTTTATCGCTGGGGTAACATTGAATATTATACAAAGACCGTAATAAAACCATATAGACGAGAAACGATCAATATTAATGTCTAAACAAACAAATGAAGAAAATAAGAGAGGGAAGAAGAAGTTGATGAAAGATGAACACTGACAAATGAAGGATCTCCAAGAAATTGAGAAAGTAGTAAGCGAATAAACAGAGATGAGTAGTTGAGGAATAACAAAGTGACATCATTTTTGCACTACATAGGAAAAAGGTTAAAGAACGAAACTAGAATGCTTATGCGATTATTACAATCTTTGATCATGAACCTTCACTTGGCAGGGGCAAGCTCTGGATACAAATATTCAACGAAGGGTTGAAGGACAATTTTGGCGTTGGGATGGTCCCACTCCAATGATTCCCACCATTCTCTCTCTTCTTTGAATATATGTATACTTTTGAGAAAGGGGGGATGAGATGGTTGTCCATCAAGAGGTGGCAGAAACAAAGGCATCTTCTTTAAGCTGTTTGTCAAAAACAATCCAATGTACTCAATGGAATCACAAATTACGGTTCCCCTGCATATGCTTTTTAATTTTGGCATACTCTGGAAAATCAAACTCTTTAATCTTGGCAGGGTAACATCAGCACTACCGTTCGAAACTAGGCTGCCCTCATCATTATCTCCTATTATCTCCTCCATTTCTACACATGATTCAACTTTCAACACACGGAGGTTATGGAGGATATTTACCAAACTCCGAGGAAGAAGTTTCTTCATTTTCCCACAATTCAGAATCTCCAACTTTTGAAGCTGGGAAAATGCACCATGTGGAAGAGGTGGCGCTGCTACTCCTTCGCTCTTTACAAGACAAATAAAATTTGGCAAGTTCAGAAGACGCAAAATTTGAAGGCTTTGGAATGGGATCTTAAGAGAATGTTCTACTTCTTCCATCAGCTCCTTCAGAGGTGACAATCTCACAATGCACTCTGTTCCGTCCTCTTTTTCAACATGGCACCGCTTCAATTCTAGAGGATTATTCAATTTTTGTAAATCATCCAATAAACATCTACTCAGGCCACATTGTTGAAAGAATAGTTCCTCAATATCTTGTGGAACCATAATTTCATCTCGGCATAAGCTTTGCCCTTTCTTAAGACTGTCTTTTCCAAAAGCTACCAATTTACAAGCTAATCTTTCAGGGTAGTAACATCTATTACATCTTCCATCACCTATCTGAATATCATAGAAACTGAGCCGCCCGTCACTTAGTTGAGAGTTGATAAATCTGTTGAAATCACACATGCTGCTGAATTTGCCTTGAAATTCTTCCAGTTGTTTCAATCCCTCAACTTCTTCTATTGGTACTATTATAGATTTAGGCAGTGTGAGGCGTTGAAGATTTGAGAGTCCATGTAACATCCCTGATGGAATAGTTTCTATACATGAGTCAAATGTGTCTAAGCGTTTGAGATTGGTCAAGCTTTCCATGCCTTGAGGTATTTCCTTAACACCAGTCTTACTGATGTCCAGATCTCTTAGTGCCTTGAGGTTTCCCAGTGGTGGTACCAACATGAGTTTAAAACAATATCTGAGCAATAATGCATTAAGTTCCCTCAAGTCCGATATGGAACTTGGCAAATACTCAATATTCGTGTAACACAAATCGAGAACATGTAGGCTACGCATTTGCTCAAAGAACGAATCTGGAATTGACTTCAAAGGATTGAAGCACAAAAGCAACGTTGAAAGTCTAGGACACTTGGGTGATGTGCCACTCGAAATTTCAGCTATATTATTATGCATCAAGGAAATCTTATCCAAATCTTCCCTCCATTCTTGTGCCTCTGGTATTTTCTTCAACTGAAGTCCAGCTTTTACCATATACCTAGGCTTATCTTTAGCGATCCTTAAAGCCATGTCTCTAACTAAATCATGCATCTTCACGTGTTCATTTCCATGGTAACTCGTACTTCTTTCAAGTAAGCAAACATTCTCCAATTTATTCAGTATGGAGTGACCTTGGTCAAAGTCTGCTTGCCTGCTTCTTCTTCTTTCCATCAAATCCTCTGAAATAAATCTTGTTATCAATTCGTTTCTGTGAATGTGGTAATCTTCGGGGTACAAGGAGGAATGCAAAAAACAACGTTGTAATTTTGGATTTCTCAATCGATTAAAACTACACAAGAGTATTGGTAACACTTCATTTTCCATGTCGGTTTGTCCAACAGAAGATTCTTTTAGTTCCTCGAGGGCATCCCTCCACTCATGAATATCAATCACACCCCTCAAGCTTCCAGCTATGGTGATAATTGCAAGAGGCAAACCAGCACACTTCTTTACCACTTCTCTTGCTATCTCTTCCACTTTGGGTGGAAGTCGTATGCCATAACTAAGTTTGTTCATAAATAGATTCCAAGCTTCTTCCTCTGAAAGAACTTCCACTTTTAGATACTTTTGGCATTCCATTTTGCGACACACCTCTAGTGATAGATTAATTACTATCATCTTAAATCCATATATAGCAAGAAAAGGAGAAATTCCAATCTTATGTGAAGAAAATGAAGTCCACACATCATCGAACATGAATACATATCTCTTTATTCTCTTGAATGCCTTACCCAATTTGGCTGCTCTCTTGTGCTCATGACNGTGAGACAGTAAACCAAAAAACATTAGCGTGGAACACAGTTTCATTCTTTAGCTTATTATAGATACATTGGGCCAGAGTTGTTTTCCCAACTCCTCCCATACCATAAATGCCAATAGTTGAAACCTCATCGCTCATCAACCAAGACGAAATTGTCCCAATATTTTTTTCAAATGCTTGATGCTTCCATTCTACCGTTACAAATTGCTCATCTAATGTCTCATTAACCTCAAATACGATTCCCTCTGGAAATGTACCTCGATCAACAAGTTCTACCACTTCCTCATTCATTTTATCAACACGTTTTGCCAACTGTACACGTGAATAAAATCTACTTTCATTCACTTTTTGTTCCAAGCATTCAAATTCCTCTTGCTTTTTTTCTACATTTCTCAACCAAAACTGGACTTCTCCTTTTCGCTTTTTCTTTGGATGGAGTTCTGCTTCTCTTAACATAGCAACCACATCAGCTTGTTGAATATTGAGCAACTCAATTTTCCTCTTAAGATTTTTCATATTTTCCTCTAGGCTATAATAATTGCTAGCCGCCTCCACAACTATTTTGGTCAACATGTCGCTCATGGTATTGCCTGGAGATAATAACAGTCAAAGCAAAACAGAACTTTACTCTGAAGAAGTTAGAAGAGAACTTCAAAGTGAAGCAAGAAGAACAAATGCAACATCAAGCATATACAAGGAAAGTTTAACAAAAAGCAAAGTAATTTAGTTTTCTAATGTATAGATAAAGAAAAAGCAGACGGTGCCTCTTGTCCGCATACCCTCGTAGTATTAAGTCAAGGCCACTCTATTAGGATGAAGTTTGATGTACGACGCCGTGTTAACATTATACAGGAGCCATAAAGGTACTCACTTTTCAAAATCCAGAAAACAGACAGGATTCTAGGATTCGATTCACTCCATGGTCACAAAAAAAAAGCAACAGTTAATATTTCAGTTCATAAGCTGATGTAACTTCGATCTTCTCTTCTGTATATATTTTTAATTACAGGTCACCACAAGACTTTTGCTTTAATAAGTAACAGTAAAACCCAGGTCATATAAAAGGACTAATTGCTTTGCGCCCTATAAACAATTACTTTGCTTAAATCAACACATATTTTTTATCAGATATATATCAAGATTGAGATAGTACCCTAATCAAGTACTCAACAACTAAATTTGAAAGCAAGCAACAATTGGCCACAAACTTCATATTTCCTCTATCAGATCAAAATCTTATTTGTGTTCCCATAAAACAAACGAGAGAATAATAATTTTGAAACTTCAAATTATAAGCTATAAGACATGGCACTACCTTCAAGTAGTGAAACCCCAGAACTTAGCAGTAGATTCTCTACAGCTCGATTGCGAGATGCCGATGGAAATGTGAAGAAACGGGATTACAGGAGCTGGTTGGGTGGGGGTTTAATATTTGGGGGATTTGTTTAAAATGCTTGGTCAACAATAATATTTAGGATAAATCTTTATGTACTACATAATGATTACATAGGTCCATAAGAAAGAAATTCGATCGTAAATGTGAAGTGTGGAAAAGCCAAAAATTGTAGACTACCGATGAATGCGCTCCACATGTCAATTATATAATATATTATGTAAATGATTATATACTTATAGTATGATCCTAATATTTATAGTTAATAATTTTTGGCAAAATAACGTGTAGTCTATTTTATCATGTATTAAAAATCATAAATATCCTTCATTTAAAATGTCTAAAATATCCAATTTCAAACCAAAATTTACCAAAATCCCATAACATGAAATCCCAGTTTTGTTCTCGCTATTCATAATACCCCATTTAAAATCGACGACAAAATGGCATGCTGCCGTTTTAAACGATTCAATAATGTTTGGTAAAATAACCTTTAGCCTATTTTATCATGTTTTAAAAGTCATAAATACCCTTCATTTGAAATGTCTAAATTCTACAATGTCAAACCAAAATTTACCAAAATCCCATAACAAGAATTTCCACTTTTATTCTCACTTTTCATGTCCAATTTAAAACCAACTGCAAAATGGCATGCTGCCTTTTTAAATGACTAGGTGCCGTTTTAACAAATTTTGTGTTCATTTCACTTTATGTTCCCTCATAACCACATGAAAATTAATGACAAACGTATTTTAACTATATTAGGAGTGAAATTTAGAGTTCGTAACCGAAATAACATGTTATCTTTATAAACGATTCGATGACGTTTTAACTAATTTTGTGTTTGTTTCACTTTATATTCTTTCGTACCCNTATTCTCTCGTACTCACATGAAAATGAAAGTAGAAAAAAAGTTCACTATATTTAGAGTAAAATCGATAAACGACATTAAATTTCCAAGATCAATAAAAAAAATCACTCGACAGTGATTAACAACATTGTTCCATGAATAAACTATACTATTCTTCACTATGAATGAAGGTAAATATCAAAAATTTCATTATATTTCAATAAGATACTCAAAAAGATAGTTTGTTTAACTTATATAAGTCTTTTACGATATTCAAAAATATGATCGAATAGTTTTAAAATAAAATTGAAACTTTGTGCCCCAAAATGACATGCTGACATTTTAAATAGCTAGTTGCCATTTCAACTAGTTTTGTGTTCATTCACGTCTATAACCACATGAAAGGTTAGGGATGAAAGTTTTGACTATATTTAGACGTTGCAGTCGACACATTTATTCAAACTATAATGAGTCACTCCATAATCTGATATGAAACTATACTATACTTGGCAATAAAAAAAAAGTAAGTAACAAGTGCGGTGTCGAAAACATAGCACGTGTAGTCGTTCAATGTGTACAAATTATGTATGATGTTTTAAAGCATATTTTACTAATTTCGGAGTGAATAATACCCCATGACCCAAAACGGAATCTAGTCATTTTAAACGTATGGCTGACGTTTCTACTCATTTAGTATTCGTTTCGGTTCATTCATGCCCGTAACCACATGAAAGTTTAGGGATTACTAATTTCGGAGTGAATCGATAACCTATGACCCAAAACGAAATCTGGTCATTTTAAACGTATGGTTGACATTTCTACTCATTTAGTGTTCGTTTCGATTCATTCATACCCGTAACCCATATGAAAGTTTAGGGGTGAGAGTTTTAACTATATTTCGATGTTGCGATCGACACATTTGTTCAAACTATAGTGAGTCACTTTCTGGTAGTAAACTACACTACACTTGACGATAAAGAAAAACTAAGTAGTAAGTATGGTATCCAAAACATAGCACATGTAGTCGTTCAATATGTATGAATCGTGTATGATGTTTCAAATACTGTTTTATTAGTTTCGAAGTGAAATAGATACCCCGTGACCCCAAACGTCATCTAATCACTTTAAACGGAGGGTTTCCTTTAAAGGTTCAGGTTTTAAGGTAATGGGTTTAGATTTTAGGGTATAGGGCAAAAGAAAAAAGACGTGTAATTATTCAACATGCCTTTTTAAACAACTAAATACCGTTTTAACAATTTTGTATTCGTTTCACTTTATGTTTCATCGTATCCACATGAAAATTAATTAAAAGATGTTTTAACAATATCTGAAGTAAAATTTAAAGTTCATAACGGTAATGACATGTTATCGTTATAGACGATGTGATGACGTTTTAACTAATTTTGTATTTGTTTCACTTTATATTCTCTCGTAGCCACATGAAAATGAAAGTAGAAAATTTTTCATTATATTTAGAGTAAAATCGATAAACAACATTAAACTTCCAAGATCGATAAAAAAAATAATTAAAAATTCACCCGATAGTGATCAACAACATTTTCCATAAGTAGACTATACTAGTGTTCACTATGAATGAAGGTAAGTATTCTAAATTCCATTATATTTCAATTATAGATAAGATACTAAAAAAATAGTTTTTTTAACTTATATAAGTCTTTTAAGATGTTCAAAAATATTATCAAATAGTTTTGAAGTGAAATCGAGACACTGTGACCTAAAATGACATGCTGAAATTTTAAATGGCTAGTTCCATTTCATCTAATTTTGTGTTTATTTCACTTTATATTCACTTATATTTAAATAAAATTTAAACGAATTTAAGTTTTTGCCATATTTAAATAACAATTTAGATACAAAGTTCATCCGATAGTGACAAACACTATTGTTTTGTAAGTAACTTAAACTATTCTTCACTACGAATAAAGGTAAGTAATACAAATTTTATTATATTCCAATTGTGATATAAGATACTCAACAAATTAGCTAATTCAACATGTACAAGTTTTATAAAATGTTTCAAACTATGATCAACTAACTTTTGAGTGAAATCGAGACCATGTGACCCAAAACAGCATTTAATCGTTTTAAACACATGGCTGGAGTTTCTACTCATTTAGTGTCCGTTTCGGTTCATTCACGCCTGTAACCACATGAAAGTTTAGGGATGAAAGTTTTAACTATATTTTGGCATTGCGATCAACACATTTGTTCAAACTATAGTGAGTCAACTCCATAATCTGGTAGTAAACTGATCATTTTAGGGTACATGGTTTACAAAATCGAAAAACATGTAATTGTTCAACATGTACAAATCTTATATGATATTCGAAACACTATTTTACTAAACTAGTTCGGGGTCACGAGGTATCGATTTCAATCCGAGACTAATAAAATTGTATTTAAAACATCATACATGACTCGTACATGTTGACCGACTACACGTGTTATGTTTTTGGATACCATATTTGCTACTTACATTTTTCTTTATTGTTAAGTGTAGTGTAGTTTCCTAAATATTAAAGAGTGATTCACTATAGTTTGAACAAATGTGTTGACCGCAATGTCGAAATATAGTTAAAACTTTCATCCCTAAACTTTCATGTGGTTACGAACGTGAATGAACCGAAATGAATACTAAATGAGTAAAAACGTCAGTCATGCGTTTAAAATGATCAGATGCCGTTTTGGGTCACGGAGTATCAATTTTACTCCGAAACTAGTAAAATCGTGTTTGTGACATCATACATGACTCATACACATTGACCGACTACACGTTCTATATTTTGGATATCATACTTGCTACTTAAGTTTTCTTTATTGTCAAGTATAATGTAGTTTTCTATTGAATTATGGAGTGACTCACTATAGTTTGAGTAAATGTGTCGATTGCAACGTCGAAGTGTAGTTAAAACTTTCATCCCTAAACCTTCACATGGTTACGAACATGAATGGACAGAAATGAAAACTAAATGAGTAGAAACGTCAGTCATATGTTTAAAAAAACCAGATGTCGTTTTAGGTAACTGAGTATCGATTTCACTCTGAAACTAATAAAACAGTGCTTGAAATATCATACATGACTGGCATATATTGAATAACTATACGTACTATATTTTGGATACTATACTTGCTACTTACGTATTTCTTCATTGCCGGTGTAGTGTAGTTTTCTACCGGATTATGGAGTGACTCACTATAATTTGAAAAAATGTGTCGATCACAATATCAAAATGTAATTAAAACTTTCATCCTTAAACTTTTACGTGGTTACGGGCGTGAATGAACCGAAACGAATATTAAATGAGTAGAAACGTCAAT